GGACGCCGTTGATGCAGCTAGCCCGGGTCCGCTCGGCCCTCTGGGTGGCCGAGGTCGACTCGGCCTTGGCCGGGCTAGCTACGGCAGCCGTCTGGGTGGTGTTCCGGGAAGCCCTCTGGGAGGCCCGCTGGGAGGACGGCGAGGCGCATTCATCGGGAATCTGGGCAACCCGCCCCAGCTTCGACCGGATGGTCTGCTGGACGGGCCGGGCATGCCCTACAGCTTCAGCTGGGCCGTGGACGAGCCCGACTACGGCAACAACTATGGCCACAATGAGGAGAGTGACGGCATCGTGACGGAGGGCGAGTACCGCGTGCTGCTGCCCGACAGCCGTACCCAGATCGTCACGTACGTGGTGGAGGGTGACAGCGGCTACCAGGCGCAGGTCACATACGAGGGCGAGGCGGTGTTCCCGCTGCCGGGCGAACCGGGCGGCCCTGCGGTACCCGGCTCGGCCGGCCGCCTGCCTGGCCCGCTCGTGCCTCTGGCTGGCAACGTTCCTGTCACGCCCAGCTCCAGCTACGGCTACTAGTAGGTAGCCGGATCTGGAGACTGCAGTCAATGAAGGCATCGCGTGACGTGTTCTCATCAACGAGCGTGTACACCTGGTGCCGAAGTGAGTGGCTCTCTCATGGCCTGAAATGCAAGTAATAAGATGCTGTGCTATTTATCTGTGTGTTATGTATGGTAGTAATTCATACCCTGTATGCTTACTGTTCGCATGCGGCGAAATACAAACCAAATGAACCGCGTATCTTCATAGTTCGAGTTGTAAAACAGGATTTCCCTTGTGGCTGCGAAGCGGGAGGCCAGTGGCAGCGCCGCGTACCAGGCTAATCACATTCGTCGCGAAGGGTTGTAGCCAGCAACGAATCTTAGTAATATTGATAGCCTGATGATTTGGCAATTTATTCTGCAAAGTATGTGAAGTGAATCTTCGCCAAACAATCTGTGAAAAGTACTCATCTGTAGGGCATCGGAAACACACCTCACCACCCTTAACCTGTGACGTCAGCACGGATACCGCATATTTTGCGCTATGATTTTTCACTAGCTAAACAAATTCTATCTAAAAGAAACTAATTTTTCACTGTTTGGAACCATGTTCTGCTATGCTTTAACTTGTATGTTTGGAAACATTTCGGAGCTCAACTTGCTCACACGACAAAACGTCAACATTTCAACACGTGACCTGCATAAGTTTACACTACTAGGGTTAATGAGCGGAGGCCAGTACTAACTGGGACGGTTTGGTGCTTTTGTTCATATGTGTTCTTATCTTTGTTACCAAATTAGTCCTAAAAACAGTCATTTTTGTCAACGCTTATATGGGACAAATCGGAAGTATTTTTCGCTCCTGGCTCTACAGCTCCTTTTCCTATTCCTACCATGTTTTATTCGTTTGGTGTTCTTACATCTAACCTCATATTTGCTGCTTAAATGTTTGCTGTCGGTATCGCCCTCAATCTTATACCGAATTTGGGGCGTCGTCAAACAATCATTTCCCGTGATTCACCGCATTCGATTTATGCTCTCTAGGCTAACATTATTTCTTAGATCCCGTTGCTGCTCAAATCCAGGCAATGTTATCCGCCGGTTCCCCCCTCCATCACAGTCATTCGCCTGTGGATTCCAAATTATAGCGATATCTCAGAAGATAGCATTGCTGATGCTTCTCCTAATGATAGCGTCAGTGCTCTCCCCCGTAACAGGGGTACTTGCCATGTCTGACATCTTAACTGAAATCGTCTTTTAGAGGTCTCTTACGATGAAAATGGACGTAATTCTGCATGCCCAATCACATTCCACCAAACTGTTGCGTCATTGACCCCGGCACGTACACGATAACCAGAATCAATACAACGCGTGGGAAAACCGGCATCAGTGGCATCCATTCAACGTCAGTGGAACACTGACTGCGGAGAGATGCTGATCGTCTTGACAGGAGCTGAGAACTAGGAGCTAAATTTTCTGCACGTTTATTTCCACGCCGTTTTTTTTCCAAAACTACCGTGTTACAAATGGTTTTGCTTTGTGGAGCTAACAAGGGAGCCAACGTGCTGTATTTCCCAGGAGGTGTTGTCAGCATATCGCACGGTGTCTGTACCGTCTGCATGTAAGACATTGACATGATTCAAGTACAGAATAGGTGCAGGGCCGACCCCTCACGGGTGCCGATAGGCCTCAGCAGCGGCCGCGAAGTCTGCCAGTCGCCAGATGGTGTCTGAACACGCACTTGTTGGGAATGGCTGTAGCTTTCAAACCAACGCGCCCGCTCATACCATACTGCAGAGTCTTCGTGCGATGTGGAAATAGAACAACGTTATGGGAAGTGGGGTGCAAGAAAAAAAGTTGAAGGCTGAGATCACTACGGTAACATTCCTATGTTTTGCTACCTTTGGTATGCTGTTGGTGTTCCAAATTATCACAATCTTTTGGGTCTCTGTCTTGTGCGGTATGGAAAACGCAGCACTGCTGACGAAGCAATTTCAGCAGCAAAACTGGATAACTTATCATTTAGCAGTAGCGGCATAACACTACGCCAGTTAGGGATAAGAACAAGGATTCCAGATTATCTTTCAGAATATATTCTTTCAAACACATCGCGTAACAACGCCGCTATGCCATCTCTTCCAAAGCCACGACCGTATTGGCGTGGCGTTGACTTTTCCGCGGTCCTTCAGGCTGTCCTGTTGCGAATTCAGGCGAATGGCAGTATGTCCGACATCCAAAGAAAGTCTATGAGGATGGTGGGCAGGACCATCTGGCCGATAGCAATGGCGATGAACCAGCACCACTCTTGCAGAGTGCCATGCACACAGTTCTGAGTTCCGTGTTTACTGCTGTTCCTGTCGCCCAGGTAGTGGTTGGTCCCTTCCGTACTCCTGGAAGTAACCTACAACCTTGATTGCTAGTCCTATGATATTGCTTTTAGGAAAGTGCAGTCAATCTGTATTTCTGCACGACCATCGTACATTTGTGTCTGTATTCCGGCACAGCCATCGTGGACACATTTATCCGGATTCATTTATTCATGGTTGATTTCTAGGTCACATGGAATATCTTTGGAGAAAAACAGTGACGTGGCAGTTAACAGGCATTGCCTTTCTACAAACCTGTTCGCTGCAACGCGCAAAACGCTCGCAAAAAAGCATACTGACCCGAAGACACACAGTCGTCGTTGTCGAAGCCCATCTTTAGTAAAGCTGAGGCCAGCTGAAGTTACGTTGTTCAGCACAGAATCCGATCTGAATCTGTCCCAGCACCATTGCTGATTTCTGTTCTGTGTATTGTATCTTCCATTCCATAGATGAAGCAATATTTTGACCTAACGATACCGCACCAAAACAGCATCCTGTTATACGATTGTATTTTCTCATGTAGTCATGCACCAAATAATATCAACTAACACCAGTGGCATCCATTCAACGTCAGTGGAACACTGACTGCGGAAAGCTGCTGAACGTCTTGACAGGAGCTGAGAACTAGGAGCTAAATTTTCTGCACGTTTATTTCCACGCCGTTTTTTTCCAAAACTACCGTGTTACAAATGGTTTTGCTTCGTGGAGCTAACAAGGGAGCCAGTGCGCTGTATGTCCCAGGAGTTGTTGTCAGCATATCGCACGGTGCTTGTACCGTCTGCATGTAAGACATTGACATGATTCAAGTACAGAATAGGTGCAGGGCAGACACTTGACCGGTGCCGATAGGCCTCAGCAGCGACCGTGAATTCTGCCAGTCGCCAAATGGTGTCTGAACACGCACTTGTTGGTAATGACTAGCTTTCAAACCAATGCGCCCGTTCATACCATGCTGCAGCGTCTTCGTGCGGTGTGGAAATAGAACAACGTTATTAACAGCGAACAACGGTATAAAAGTCTCCACACGACCAGCGAATAAGTGGCGTTAATATCATGTTATGGTTTCGTAAATAAATGCCTGCGGTTATTTTCGACGACAAAACGTGTCCTATGTAAAAGGGTTTAACTCCCGTTATCTGAGGTTACCGATCATTCGAGGCTGAAATTTTGAGGCTCCGGAAACCAAGTTGCCCCGCTGTATCCTCCATGGCGACGCCACTACGCAAAAAGATCAAAGAAGAGTAACTGTGTGATGGCTATCTTTTACCTACGTTTTTAGTAGCATTCCAGCCAAAAACATTGGGTAATCCAAGCCAACATTAGGGGAGAAGGAGGAGGGGGGGAGGGGGAGAAGGTAGCAACTCAGCATTGGGCGGCAGGTCGCTCACAAAAGAGCGTAAATTGATATCCGTGATGAAAGCTGTTCCAATCGCGAGATGTCGTTGAGACCAATTCGCAGGTATTTCTGCTAAGCTTTATCTTTATTTGTTTAGAAACACCCGGGAGGGGAGGGTACTGCATTGATCCCCTGACAGTCAGCGTTCTGAAGGAATCAGAGGTGGAGAAAAGCACGAAAAATTCACAGCTCATTCCAAAGCCATAGTCTCCATATTCACATAGACCGCAACGTTCCACACTATTATTTCCACAGCGTTCGATGAAACTCCAGACAGATATTCAGATAATTTTTACAACATGCCTGTTCGCCACGTTTTTAGCCAACGTCTTGTAACTAGTCCGTTTAGTCACTTAAAGTTTTTTTACGAATGAAATTCTAAGCTGATTGTCGTAAAATTAACGAAACCCCTGAAGTATACGTTTTTTCTCACTGTCTTGCTAGTTCGGGCAATAACAAATACGTGACCCGCAGGGTCAGAATGGCTCAATTATCGCGGTCTCAACCAATGGATTGACCCCGGTACGTTTTATAACGGTGTGAGAGGGTTGGTCTGCCAGCAGACATAACCGTGGGTGCTAATAGCCGGAGGCGGCCCTGGCGGTCACGCAGCGCCTGTCGAGCACCGCCGGCGAGCACCACCGTCACCACCGCTCGCACAGTATAAAACGGCCCGCCGCCCATCTGTAGACATCAGTTCACAGGTCACAGCCCGTGTGCAACAGGCCGCCTCACCGACAGTCATGAGGTGTTTTCTGAGCGTCTGTACACTGCTGGCGACAGCGGCGTCTGCGCCCGTCCCCCAAGATGACTCGTACGGGGCTCCGCCGCCGCTGGACGCCGTTGATGCAGCGGGCCCGGGTCCGCTCGGTCCTCTGGGTGGCCGAGGTCGAGTCGGCCTGGGCCGGGCTAGCTACGGCGGCCGTCTGGGCGGCCCTTTGGGAAGTCCTCTGAGAGGTCCGCTGGGAGGACAGCGAGGCGCTTTCATCGGAAACCTGGGCAACCCGCCCCAGCTCCGGCCGGACGGTCTGCTGGATGGGCCGGGCGTGACCTACAGCTTCAGCTGGGTCGTGGACGAGCCCGACTACGGCAACAACTACGGCCACAGTGAGGAGAGCGACGGCATCGTGACGCAGGGCGAGTACCGCGTGCTGCTGCCCGACAGCCGTACCCAGATCGTCACGTACGTGGTGGAGGGTGACAGCGGCTACCAGGCGCAGGTCACGTACGAGGGCGAGGCGGTGTTCCCGCTGCCGGGCGAGCCGGGCGGCCCTGCGGCGCTCGGCGCGGCCGGCCGCCTGCCTGGCCCGCTAGTGCCCGGCCGCCCGCTTGGCGCCGGCCTGACGTACCCGTCTGTGGACACCGTCCATCTGGGCTCCCCGCTGCCGGAGGTGGCTGGCGATGCCCCTGTCACACCTAGCTCCAGCTACGGCTACTAGCACGTAGCCGCACCTAGAGACTGCAGTCAATGAAGGCATCGCGTGATGCGGCTCTGATCAACGAGCGTGTACACCTGGTGCCGAAGTGAGTGGCTCTCTGGCCTGAAATGTAAGTGATTAGATGTTGTGCTATTTATCCGTGTGTTATGCATGGTAGTAATTCTTGTACGGTATGTTTGCAGTTCGCATGCAGCTAAATAAAACTAAATGAATTAAATGAAACAAGGTTTCTCTTGCAACTGCGAAGCGGGCATCTAGTGACAACCCCGCATACTAGGGTAATCACGTTTGTCGCAAAAGGGCTGGAGCCAGCCACGAATTCTACTACTATTAATAGCCCAGTGATTTGGTGATTTATGCTGCTGAGTATGTGACGTGAATCTTGGCTAAGCAATCTGTTAAAAAGCGATAATGTGTGGGTCATCGGAAACGCACCGTACCACCCTTTATCGGTGACCTCAGCACTGGTATCGTATAGGATGTAGCATGTTTTTTCACCAGCTAAAAACGTTCCTGATAAACCATGTTAATAGCCATGTTTTGCTATGTTTTAGCTTGTATGTTTGAAGGCATTTCGGGGTTTAACTTCCCCACACAACAAACTGTCAACGCTTCAACACATGATCTGCATACGTTTACACTGCAAGCGTCAATGAGTACAGGCTAGTAATTACTGGGACGGTTTGGTGTAATTTTTTATGATTTGTTCGCAATTCTTTCACCAAATTAGTCATGATGCATAATAATGCTGTTAACGATTATATGAAACAAACCGGGAGTTTTTTCATCCTTGGCACTGTAGCTGCTTTTACCACCTCAACCACGTCTTGTACATTTCCTGTTCTTAAATTTCACCTTGTTTTTGCTGTTCAAATGCTTGCTGTTGATGTTGCCCTTAATCCTACACGGAATTCAGAGCATTGCTAGCCTATCATTTGCCGTGATTCACTGCCTTCGATTTATGCTCTCTAGGTCGATCATATTTCTTTACGTCCCGTTGCTGTCCCAATCCAGAATGTTTCATTCACAATGTCCCCCCCTCTTTATCACAGTCTTTCGCCTGTGCATTCAAGATCCTATTGAAATCCCAGGAAATGACAGCACTGATGTTTCACTTTATGATAGCGTCAGTCTTCTATCTCGTAACAATGTTACTTGCCCTGTGCCTGACATCTTAACTTATCTTAAGTCTTCGTTTAGAAGTCTCTTACGATGAAAATGGACGTAACTGTGCACGCCCACTCACATTCGATCAAAGTGTTGCATCATTGACCACGCCCCCCCCCCCCCCCTTTCCCCCGTCTTACCAAGACTCCGGCAATGCCCCTGGCTGTTCTTGGTTCCATAAATTGTGATGTAGTACGGCGTCGGGGCTATCAAGACACTTCCCACTAGCGCGAGTATAGTAGACTGCCTATGGCCGAGCCTGCTGTGGTTGATGCCTCAGAGTTTGCCGTGTCATCGCCGCACAAAGTCGTCAGTGTGCGCCGAAAATGTCACGCGCTGGTCAAACGCCATAACCAGATTCCGGACAACGCGTGGGAATCCTGATGTCAGTGGCATACCTGAAGTGAATACTGACTGCGGTTAGCTGCCGATTATCTTGATTAGAACTGACGACTATGAGGTAGGTTTTCTTACGTTTATTTTCACGCTGTCCTTGCAAAATTACCATGTTATAAATTGTTTTGCTTCGTAAAGCTAACAAGGGAGCCAATGTGCTGTATTTCCCAGCAAGTGTCGTCAGCATATTGCACGGTATCTGTACCGTCTGCATGCAAGACAAGACATGATTCCGGCCGTGACCTTGGCCCGTGACTTGGCTCGCACGCTCCGCCGCACGGTTCTGATCGGCTTCTCTTCGAGTGACGTGAGCGCGATGGTAACGCGTGCCTTAGCCTGGGTCTATGCCGGCTAGAGGCTGCAACCGCATAATGTGGTGATTCGAAGGGATTTCATCACACTCCCAACAGCCGACTGTGGCCCGAGGCGCCAGAAGCTGGTGAATTTTCCAAGCGCTTCAGCTGGTGAGTCGCTCGCGGGGTCAAACCATGGCGGAGGATGGAGATCGCGATGTGTTTGTTGACCCTGACGAGGCGACTCATAAGACAAGTCAATCTCACAAGACAGTTAAGACATGCCAAATAAAGACTGACGCCAGCGAGATGAGACAGCGCCAGAATAAGTTGAGAGACCCGCACGGCTCATCCAGTGGGAGTCTGCTCGTCTCTAAATTTGACGAAGTTATAAACCTAATCCGGCAGGAAAATGACACACGTCACGAAGCAGTTCTGACCGAGATAAGGAAATAATTCTCTCTGGCCATAAACAAATATGGAAAGGAAACTAGAAGCTGTCAAACCCAGACCAGAACAGAATGTAGCGGACCTAGAAGCGCACGTATCCGAACGAGAAGACCTGGTGGAAAAACTCAACGACCAAGTGAACGCCTCAGAGCAAGTCATCAGGAGCATGCAAGCTGAAGCATAGCTCAGAGCAATGCAGTGGAAGTCGCCCTAACCCATCTTGTCAGGGGAGCCGGTTCCCCTGGCGCCTCGCCCTGGCTCCGCCACTGACGGCCGCCCCGAGGACCTGAGGCGGGCGGCCTGTGACGTCACGCGGCGCGCGTTCCCACCGGCGGAGGCAGACCCGGGAGAACTGGCGGACGTTCGCCGTGTCGGCTCCAGGGCGCTGCTCTGCGGGTTCGTCCGCACAGGTCCTGGCTCTCTAAGACATTACCTCTATGAGAACAGAATGTTTCCAAACGGTAAGCGGGAGGACAGTGGGCTGTTTATAAGAAAGTCTGACACAGAGTAAATGGGACGTTTTCAACAAACTTTTGGTGCACAAGAAGGAAGGTCGGCTATACTGTGTATTTAGCCGCAACGGGTCCGTGTACTGCAAAATAAGTGCGGTGGCACAAAACAAGTGCGATGGCTCAGAAAGTCCTGATCAGCGACATCGATGAGATCAAAGGTCCTTTTCGTAACAACCATTGATACAAATGTTTTGGAAGATGTGTGAATATTTTCTTCATGCAGGCGACGCTCCGCGTGAGCCGATGACTGTTGATATGTAACTAGCAGGCCAAAATAAATATCTTCGACTTCGTCCTTATTTGAGGAGACTTTCGTGATCAAGTTTATCTGTTCGTGTGCACGTATGTAACTGCGCTGAATTGGACGGCATCCAGCTGCATGTAACCATATTTGTGAACTTGGGTTTAGTTATGAGAAGCAATGTTCTGTTTATCAGTTTGCATATTCTCTTCTGACTCGCCAATGGTGTAGAACCCCTCGGGCCGATGAATCGCTTGTTGCCATCATAGCGAATGTGTGTGTTATTGTACTACCCTGGCAGGGTGTTGGTCTGGCGCCTGGGCTCGCCCGTACGGCTGGGTATGGCGGACCGCGTGCGCCTAGCGGGCGCACCGCCCCGGCGGTCGCGCACGTGCCGTTGTATGCGTGGCTGCGGCCGGAAGTCCTGACTGCCCGGCCGCCGGGCGGCGACGCAGGCTGCCCCGGGTCACCACCCAAGGGAGATCACAGAGGGCGGCAAGGCCGCTCACTCGCCTTTTCAGGCGTTCATAGACTATGCGTGTTTCTGGTTTTTTCAGGTTGTTGTGCCCATTCTTTGGTGTTTGAACAATTCTGGACCTGCTTTCACCTTAAGTCATTTAACAATCGCTTGTGTCAACCTTACTTGTTCTATTTGTTATGTGTGTTTGTGTGTTATGTTATGCATGCTATATTGTATTACGCATGCATGTATGTATGTTATGTTACATCGTGTATGTATGTATGTATGTATGTATGTATGTATGCATGTATGCTATGTATGTTATGTCATGTTATGTGTGTATGTTTGTTTTGTATGTTGTTATGTATGTTTATGTTATTTGGATACTTTTTATTTTCTTTCCTTCTTTATTTTTGGTGGGCGGGCAATTTTTGGATTATTTTGTCCTGGTGCTGGCCGTAACCAAAGCTTTCGTGGACTGTTTGACATGCGCAACGCAGCGATCGCCAGCTTCTATGGCAGGTTATTAATATCAAAGTACGATATGCTGTGCTGGTGCCGTTGCTGCTTTCCTGTTGATGATTTTGTCAGTACGTTATTGTCGACCCATCGTTGCGCGCAGTGCTGTAGTCCTGACATTGGTATCATGTAATGTGTACAGTAGTCACCTGTCCTCTTTGTTTGTAGCTGGAAATGGGGTGTGGTGCCAAAAAGAATAAATTTGTGACATTGTCTTTATTGCTTGCAACTGGAAGTGTGATGTCATGCAAAATTAATAAATCTGTAACGTTGCAATGCATTTATTGTCAGAGCATTGCTATTGCTATGGTAAAGATGATAAGGATGGGCTACCAAGAATTTACCCCCAAAATGTGTTTTTTTTTTGCTTAGGATTGTTCATGCAATTAATAGTAAACTCTGATATAGCCATTGTGGTGCAACGGTATATTCGCCGTGGACAGTCCTTTGACATTTTTAAATACATTTTTACCAGTCATTCATACATGATAAGCTGCCATCTCATAGGCTTGACAAAGAGTACTCAACCAATGTGATACATTGTGTAATAGGACTGGCCAATGGCTTCATTTTGACACTATCTCGGTGCTGTACTGTAGCATGACATAATGAACAACAATACGGCTTTTCGACTGCAATCCATGCCGCTTTCATAATAAATTCCAGCATGAAAAGATGGGTCAAGCATGCACTCTTGCATTGACTTTCCATCTGACATATGACTAACCAAAAACACATGACACAATATACAAATCA